CATTGTCAATTAGTAGGCTGTAGTAGCTGTGCTAGGAGTAGGCTGGGCGCTGAGCGCCAAGTGCGAGTGTGAAGGGACTGGACTCGTATTGATGAGGAGAGAGTATGCTCTCTGTGACATTGGTTTTCAGTACTACGAACCTCCATTGGTGTATTATTGGTGCAATGCTGTTCTCTGGACACAGTGTGACTATTTGGCTTTGAATGTGATGGTGTAATCTGGAATTGTCATCTTGCTGTTGCTTATTTTCCTTGCAAAATAAAAAATGTTTTTTCAATTTCATTTTTTAAATTTTAAATTTGGTAAAGAATTTCGATGCGACCCTGAGGCAAAAGTTGTTCAGTTTATTTCTCTGCATAACATAACTTTTTTTTCAGAAGTTTTGCATTTTTTTATTTTTTTTTGCTGGGACCTTGTATGGTCCTTGCACAACCGGGCATACGGAAAGTGTCAAGAAAGGTGGACCTCCAGCTGATGCTGGATGTGGAGGGAAGGAAACAATCAGAGAGGGGAGATATATAGAAGGGGAAACAATCAGAGGGGAGATATATAGAAGAAGATAGACAAGCAATGGCCGATTGCTCTTTACACGCAAAAACAATATTCCATTAGTGAATCCAGCGTGTACACCAAGCTCGAATCATCGCGCACGCGTTCCTCTACGTTTCAACCGGGTGCGCTCCGGTCTCATCAGGAGGCTTGCCACTAGCCCAGAGCCTTACGGCCCACCAGTACACTGCCACCCTACGAGCGAGTGAGGACCTGTCTGGCCTTGCCCTCATTTATGCTGTTGCCTTCCCTTCCGCGTGCACTGCCCCTAACTTCTAAGCTCTGATTGGCTAGAACAATCCAACCTCGAATCCCAGTAAGGTCCTTGGTAGCCGCTCAATCCTTCTTGGGCGGGCTCTGCACACGCGCCGGACTGCCACCGAACTCCCAGGTAGAACTCCCAGGTAGCTCACATGCGTTTCCACCTGGAAATTCGAAATTCCAACGTTGTAAAACTTTCCGCTCAACTATTTTCCCGCCTGAAACCCGTTAGCCCTATTTTTCCGCCCTTTCTCTACACGTCTTAATTCTAGTCCGTTGGGAGTTCGACACGGACTTTTCCCGTATTTTCCCGCTTCCTTACTCTGAGCCGTGTTGGCCTTTCTTCGGGCCAACGCGTGTCTAACCGCTTGTTACTGTACACCCGCTTTCTGCGGGGCCTACCCGGGTTGCATCCCTTCAAAAACTAAAGTACATCTTGATCCAGATCCAATGAATAAATAAAGAAATACGATTCAGGAGTAACACGCTCTCCCCCCCCCCCTCCTTTTTTTTTTCAATATCCCGCCTGAATCCGTAGTACCTACTACCTCAGCCCGCCTATCGTACATCTTCATTCGAATTAAATCAAACCATACAAGTAAGTCCCTACTATGTGTCGGTCCTATCAGGAAAAATACGCACCCTTCCTAATTCCTGACCACCCCAATTACAAGATCCCAGGTGCATACTATTATTTGGCCGTAATTCCTACTCACCTCCCCCCCCGGCCCGTTTTTTTGTCGTTTCCCCGCGTACAGTGAAATACCATGCTATCGAGGAGCGCTTTCCACGGCTCCTCGTCAGCAACGGTACCCCTGGCAAATTTCGCCAGGGAGATATATAGGAGGGGGTAAGAGAGGAGGGCAGGGGGGCGGGGTTTTGTGGGTTGAAAACCCGATTTTCATGAGCTGGCTTTCTACTCTCACCTTTTTTGTCGGTTTTTTTTTTTTTTTTGGGGGGACAGCTGCTCTCGCCAACAGTTGCCCTTTTCCTCTTTTTTCCTTTTTTTTTTTTTTTTTTTCCCGGAGGACGAAAGTTCCAGCGGTGTATTCATGGGGACCTGGAGACACTCCACGCTGCCCTTCTCTACTTAACATCGACCTTTTTTACTTCCTTTTTCGATTCCCCACCCATTTTTGTTCCCAACCTACGGTTTCTCTATTTCTCCACCACCCAACTTTTTTCCTCCCCAACCAATTGATACACACTCCCAGATAATTTTGGCAATGAAAAACATTTTTTCGTGATTAATCCACGCAACAATAGTGTTTCAAAAGGCTGTTGATTAGTGGTTGATCATGCATGATTTTACTGCAGACCGCCCCAATCAATCATGACCCCACCGAAAGCGGTTCCCCATGTCCAATCCTACGGTCCGATCATAGACCGAATACGGTCCGATCATAGACCGAATACGGCCCGATCATAGACCGGATACGGTCCAATCATAGACTGGATAAATATCTTCCGTCTGGCAATCTAAAGCGAAATCCGGATAAACATCAGGTGATTCAGGATTAATCATCCATTATTAGATAATAATAACCATATACACGACTTAGTTATTATGCCAATCATGCACATGCATATGCATGATCAATGCACGGTCCTCATGCATGATGATAGCAATCAATCCTAGCTTGCCAGACGAGGAAGAGATTGTTTTGGACTTGTAGACTTTCGACTGATTGATTGATTGATTGATTTTGATTGATTGATTGACTGATTGATTGATTTTGATTGATTGATCGCCTGCGAAAAAGAAGACTGATTGTCCAGCTGATAGACTTGGATTGACGAATTGATTTGCGATCGACTGATCGATTATGATTGATTGATTGATTGAGTCTGATTGAGTCTGATTGATTCTGATTGATTCTGATTAATTCTGATTGATTTGGATTGATACTGATTGATTCTGATTGATTCTGATTGATTCTAATTGATTGTGAATCGTTGATTTTGATTGCTTTCGATTGATTTCGATTGCTTTCGACTGATTTTGATTGATTCTGGTTTGTTTTGGACGCTTTTGAATGGTTTTTCTATATTTTGAGTTGACTCTATTTGATTTTGACTGATTGAGCGATTGTTATCGATTCTGATCGATTCTGATTGATTCTGATTGTTTTCGAACGATTCGATATATACGTATACATATATTGTCACATTGTGAATCAGAGCGCAAAAAAGGGAAAAGAAAAAAGGAAAAGGAAAAAAGGGGGAGGGGGAAGAGGTAAGGAAAGCTCCAC